ATAATCTTTAGCTATGCAGGCAACATTTATTAGTAGATCAATTTGCTGTTGGGATTTGACCTTTTTTTGTGGGATTTGTCAGAATCAAAAACGTTCAGCTTCAAGCACTGTACTGAACTGACATTGACGTCTTCTGTGTGGGAGACCACAAGACACACATTTCCTGTTCTTTTTCCAAAAATTTCCTGTTCCTGTTTTGCCCTTTCTCTCTCATTGTCTCATAATTCACCCTTCAAATCATTTGCAAACACGCGTAGGCTTGCAGGGGTTAAGCGTTTTGAAGGTACACATTTAACAACAAGTGGGCCAATTATGGCTGTGCGTTTTTTTCACCCTTAACTCCATAAACTCCTACAACATTTTCATCCACACAAACACAGGCACATACACAAACACAATTATAATTGCTGGGACAGTTCACTGGAGCAGTGGGTCAGTGCTCAGCTGCTAGAGACAGAATTAGAGCAGCAAACAGCTGAGCTTCTCTAGGGTGCTATCATGTGACCTATCCCACCCACAGGAGCAAAGCAGCTCTGGGTTAGAGTTACCAATAATTTCCAGAATGGTTGTTACGCGTGTGAGTGGAAATCTGTCTTCCTGTGTACATTGTGCACCCCAGTTATATGGGGATTTTTCTCTCCTTTGTTTCCAAAAGTAAATGTTTTCTCAAACTTGCTGATAGCCATTGTGTTCAGCTGTCATTAGCACACTTTTTGCTCTTTGTCCCTCCTGCTTTAGGTTGTGTGGCTAAATGTAGATGTTTTCTGGATCTAATGAGAGGCAGCATCTTGGGTTTGTTACACTACAGTGAAAATGTATCAAACAGTTTCTGTAAGGAAAAGAACTGCACAACTGGAATTTTTTAGATGTATTGTTTCCTGACCTGTAAAATAACAGCATGGCCTTTTTTCAGTGTCTGTCAGCAATGCAGGTAAGGGGGAAAGAGCTGAGTGCCGCACTAGCAATTACTGCTCTGAGTCAGGCAGTGAAAGGCCTGTATCTCCACTCCTATCACTAGCAGCATTTTAACCCAATACACCATGCCTTTCTACAGTTGCTATATGGAGAAGGAAAGGTAATACTTAAAACAAGATCCTTGTAATAAGCAGTAATTAATAAGTCATAAGCTGTTTATAAGTGAGTCTGAGCTCTTCAAAGCATGATTTGGACCAGGACACTCAGGCCTAATTTAATCTTTTTTAAGGAATTTTCTTAATTTGAATATTGTCTTTTCTTAACATTGTGTAGTGCTCCAGAGGACAGAGCCATGGAAATGATTTCTAACTGTATAGGAATGTGTTTATTAACCCTAGTAAAACATTGTTGCTTTAACTCAAGCCACTGCGAAAAAGCATAGCTGAGTGTTAATAGGGGCATACCTAGTTAATACATGCATTGTAAAGTATTTATTATTTATATTACTGCTATTTTGACTATGGATACAAAAGAAAGTACGTGTTCAAAAACTGTTTTCCACAGTCTCTTTATGCATTGGAATAAAGTAAAATAAGCAAAAAGTTTATCAATAGAAACAATGAGAAGAACAACACATCTCAGTCCTGATCTCATGCTTTGGGGTCCACCATTTCTGATTAATAGCATTCCTGAGCATCACGGACAGAAAGGGGAAAATCGTAAATGTAGAAGTTCAATATACAACAAATGAAACGGAATTTAGCTGTATAAGTCCATAAATACAACCCATAGTTGTTGTTTTTCACTAATTACCTATTCACAGCCATATTAGTTGTTGGGGTTTTTTTTAAGTACAGAAATAAATGGATCAAATTCCCTTGTTGCAGTGATATATGATATATAATCCTCACTTTGGTCTGAAGGTCTGACTTGACCATCTTTATTGTAACAGTGCTGAGATCCATCAGTCTCACTTCAGTTTTAGTCATCATACTAAAACCAGTTCTGATCGGACTATGAGCACCTTAAAGTGCAACTGAACTGTTTTGTTTTGGGGTTATGCTCTAAAAAGATTAAAGTAAGTTTGTCCTGTGTACGGCCATTCTCTGAAGTGCATCTCCCACATGTCACATTGCTCATGTGGTTACTGCCTCACAACCAAAAGAGAAGGGGTAAGCCCTGCAGGGTTTTAGAAGGTTTTCCAACACCGTACCATGAGTGGAGAGTGTTCAGTGAGACAATATTACAAACAAAACTGTGTCTGCACATTATAAACATATTGATAAATTACAGTTGAAGAAACTAACTCACTTCTTGGCCAAAGGTTTGAGGCCAATGTGGAGGTCGTTTGCTGCCGTCCATGCATGTGTGCAGGCTACTGTGTGAATGTGTGTATTTGTGTATAGTGGGGGGATGGTGTGCCAGAAGAATTAGGTAATACTGACCTGACCATTTCAGCCCCCACCTTACAAACAACACTAAGATCAATGTACCAGATCAATAAAAGTCATTGGCAATAACTGAACTTCTCATGTGATCAGTGAAGGAGAAAATTCTTTTTTTTTTGCACATCTGCATGTGTCCCAACATGCACATTCATCACACTGAAGGTTTGTAACCAAAAGCATGCAGCCACCCATGCAAGTCTTATCAATCCTCCAAATCCGCACGTGCAGAAATGGTACATGTGCACTCAAGCAGAGACACACATAGACGCATGCACACACACCGCAGGGGGGGAAATAGGCTCTTCTCTGACACTGCATGATTGGTCACTTTTTCCCTCTCTCTCCCTTCCTGCTGAAATAGTTTTAACAAAAGAGAAGGGAGACGGAGGGGGAGGGGTGGCGTGCTTGGGGGAGGGGATGCGTGCGCTGCTCTGTTGTCACCAGGCGAGGGAGAGCGAGGGCGGGGAGGGGGCGAGCTGGAGGGCGAGCGAGGGAGTGTAGGAGAAAAGGATAGGATCCCAGAAGAGGCTCAAACACACTGACACACACATACACACACACATATGCACACATACGCAGAGAGAGAGGGAGAGAGACCTTCTGTTACAATTTGTGGAGTAGTGGATTACTTCCCAAACTGAAACACTCATCGGGCAAATCCAGGCATGGTCAGGTCTGTAACCATTTACTCACTTATTAGAAAAAAAAAAGATTTTGGTTTCCCTTCAGCAGTAATGACAATGTTTCCGCTGCTCCCTGCACATTTCGGTCCTTTCTGGTGTTCTCTCTTTTCCTTACGGTAAATGTCGTCATTTTCGTTTTTACTTAGTTTACTTCAATTTATCTACCATCTTTTCCCCTTGTCTTTATATGTGTTAAAGTCTAATTAGCTGGCCTCCTGTGTCGACTGTTTGGTGCCTGTTTTAAGTGCGTGCACTTTGGACGCATTTTTTTGCCCTAAATTTCCTTGAACTATTCAGCATTAGACAGGGCAGCATGGAGTTCTCTTTCCTCTGTTGGTTTGCAGTTTTATAATGAAAACCGTGCTTTGCCGTCTTGTAGTCACAGGGTAAATGTGTCAGTGTTCGACTTTCAGTCTCTCTTGTGCGCTTGTGTCTGTGCGCACAGCTAAGGAAAGAACCAGAAAAGCAAGCGCAATGAAAATACATGCAAAGCTCATTACCGCTCAATAATAGCTTACATGACACCAAATATTTTACTTTATTTTGTTAAAAGGTTTGCAGTAAAATAAAGGAATATTAATATTGCTCTACGGTGTAAGCGAGTAAGCATGACTTTTATTTTTAATTATCATTATTTTCCCAAAATCTCTTAGAATCAAGCGACAGCAATTAAACCAGGACAAGGTGTCTGCTGGCTCTGACACTGACTTGTTTGCACTCTTCAGGTGGCAATGTGTCAGAGTGGTGTTGAACTATGAGATGAACCATGGAGCAGTACAGGAGGCCACTCACTAGCCTTACCAGCAGCCGTAAAGCCAAAAGCAGCAGAAGCAACAGCGGTAACCCAGGAAGACCCTGAAGCATGCAGCTGGGCCCTCACTAGCACCAAGTGGACCTGGTCCTCTCCTCTTCACCTGGGACCAGGGCTGCAGAATGCTCAGTCCTGTCACCCCATACAGTAAGTCTTTAATTTTTTTGGTTTGTATTTGGGAGACACTGATTGGATGAATGCGTCATGTTGTACGTGCATACCATGCTCCAGTTCTGCTTGAGTTTGTTTTCCTGTACACATTCTTCTTCAGGCCCCTCTTTTGTCCAGAACTCATCTCCTGTGGATATGCAGTGGGAAGCGAATTACTGGGGTGAAGGGAGGGGGATCTCTTGAGCAGTCGTGTTGAGAAGGCAGATAACCTGATGCCTTTAACAGCTGAGTCTCCAGGCTTTGCATTGAGGAATTTCACAGAAAGTGTTCAGACACTGTTTTTTGAGACCAAACAGACAGCAGATGTTTGTCTTTTTAGAAACGCCACACATATTTTGCAGAATGAATGTGTGCTTGAACAGGCTTTAGGTCTCAGGTTTAGGGCAGTACACATGTACAATCTGAATAAACTCCAGTTGTATTTTTACCACACGTGGTAAAGAGTTGACACATTTGGAAGGCATTTCCACAAAATACTTGTTTGTTACTTAAGTATGTAAAAGCAAAATATATTCAGATCATGTAAACATGTCACAGAATAGCCCCTCCCTTACTCATATGTGTACTGATTACGCGAGGTTCCTATCTAGACTGTTAAATATACCTGTATTGACTGACCGGCTTATTGATCAGGACCAGCTTTAACAGGATTACAACACTAACCTGATTGGAATAATGCAACAGGGATTTACTGCTGGATGTTTTGTGTAACTGCACAGAGAAGCAGCAGCTAACAAACAGCAAAATGTCACAATACTTTGTCTCTGACGTCTCGCGAGGCACAACGATGGGGCTGTCTGTGTAGAAAGAAGCTCTGGTAACATCTACGTGTCACATTCCTTCCTCAAAAGCAACTCACAGCAGTGTGTCAGTTTTCTACTCATAGAAACTAAACACGCTCACATTCTGGCATTTTATTTTTTATTCCCAACCACACCACCTCCAGTCACGTGTCACACACACTGACAAATTTCAGATCAATTCCCAAACACAAATAAGGAAACAATCACAGCTCGTTAAGGTGCGGGTGACTGCGATTGTTTGTCCTTAATGATGATAATGTGAGAGTGATGAGCGGCGTTAGCGCGTTTTAGCTGCCCGTTACCAGGGTGAAGCAGTTCTGTGAATGAAAGCCAGATCGTTAGTAACCTGGTGTCAACAGCCTCTCATTAGTGCTGTTGTAGTGGGGCGCATAAACATCACCCTCTGCCTCCACACGCATGCATCAGCCCTGCTTAATAATCGCGAAAGCTTGTTAAAAGAAAGTGTAACAAGCCGCGGCTCCTTATTAGGTGTTATAGTGTAGATGTGCGGCGCCGGTGGGGAAAACGACAGAGAAAGAGCAAAGTGAAGGACAGATGGAGAAGATGTAGAAGGAGGGACTGGTCAGCTGCAGCCTGATATATGAGTGGACACAATAAGCAAAGAGGGGCCAGGCCAACCTCTGCCACATGTGAGTGTGTGAGCTTAGAGGAGTGGGGGAAGGGAAACTGACCACACAGGCTGGGACACAGAGTCTGGTCTTTGCTATTGCACAGATAGCAGGAGGGATAGGAAGAATGAACAAAATGCGAGTGAGAGAAAAGAGAAATTAAATGAGAGGGAACGGAGGATTCAAATGATCAAGCTTAAACCAGCTGTGATCTCTTCAGAGATCAAACTGTGTCAAACCCTGTGGTTGGCATAGTTTGATCTTCTCATTTGGCTTTGGAGCTTTCAAATAGCTTTCAGGTTAGGGATGTTTAAAGTCTGAATCAGACCTGGTACAGTATTTGATTGGCTGACAGCAGCACGGCCTGGTGTAGTGTGCAGGCCTGGAGAAAAGGGGGAAGGGGAAATAAAAGGAAGAGAGAGGGAGGGAGGGTCTTCTCCTTCCCACTGACTGCACACCCAGTTTTTTTTTCTTGGTCAGTGCTCACGGGACTATAACACTAATTTATACCGTTAGCTTGAAATACAGGGATATATGGGTAAAGTGCGCGCATTTCATTGTTCATCTCAGCTGGCGTGACATTCTCCTTGTAAACTCGTATACCGTTTCTCCTCTGATGTGTATTGATCTTGGCAGTGGCGTGAATCAACTTCTAACTAATACAAATCACTCAGTAATGTGCAAACAGGCTACAAGGTCATTTGTCAGCACTGTAAGGAATCACGTTCTCTCTTTGTGTTTTCTCCCTCGCTTCCTTTAGCCTGGGAATAGACAAGGCGTGCTGAGTGCATGGAAAGGATATGTGCTTTGTAAATAGATCTCAGGTTAGATTCCTGGCATTCCAGCAGCTTGACTCAACCAATGACCGAGAGTCCATCTGCGTGTTGGCCAGCTGAAGCTGAACCCTCCATGGAAAAAACACAATATAAGACTGTAGTTTGCTGCAGCTTGTGTGTATTTTTGTGTGTGTGTATTTTGGATTTTCCGTCTTCAGGGGGTGTCTTTGTTTATTGTGTGTGGACTGAAAGCACTTACAGAGACCCTACAGCTGCAGAAGGGTGATTTTTGTGTCCACTCTCCTTCCAGCCAGTCACCCATCTCTTATTCCTCACAACCCCCTAAATCTCATTTCAGCTAGCCCCTTCCCCCACATATACTTCCATCTAATTAACCCCTAATTACTCATACTGACCATGCGGTGGACTGGGAGTCAAGCTAGCCTCCACTGACACACAGAAACTATCCATGAGTTGCAGAATTGCAGAAAAGAAAAATTCAAGCAGTTTTGCCAGAGTTTTCAAAATGTACAAGTCATTATAATAGTCACATCGAATTTAGAGCACTGAAACTGGTTCCGTTGGTGGTTGTTGATGGTCGGGGACCATTTATTCAATAAATCAATGCGGCTGGAGTTTATAGGCATCCAGTCTTAGTGACCACTCAAAGCAGGTGAGAGAACAAGTTACATTTTAACTGTGCATAGATGCGTTTCTATACACTTTAAGCACTCATCTGTCTCAGATTAGAATCACCTTATGCGTTTGTCTTTGGCTGTCTTTAAACACACAGCACACATGATTACACACTTCCTGCTTTCAGTCAGTTTCATTGTCTCTTATTGCAAAGACATGTAAACACAGGACTTGAGTATGGTGTCATAGTAACAGCAATTTAGCGTTTTTCAGTATGCAAAAGATTTCTGGTTACATGCACCTTTGGACATAAGAGTCAGCATTTCCTGCATGCATAGCAGTTAACCTTGTTTTCCTGTTTTTGAGTCATCTCAGAAATGTTCTAGCCAGCTTATTATCAGGAATATTAATATTATAAAGCAGATCTAGTCTGTGTATCGACATGAGCCGGACTTTCATGTCATCTTCAAAGTGGGCTTTCTGGAAGTTTTTCTTTGGGCATGTGTTGCTTTTTCACTCATTTTCAGCCCAGTCCTTGGGCCTGAGCATTTTCAGAGGAATGTTTCTTTGTTTGTTTAGGCACTTAACACTGACCTATGAATCGTTCGGTCATAAAAAGGCACCAAACTCAAGGAATGAACCAGTGTTTTGTCTATACTTATTAAACAACTTCAAGAACTGATTTTAAATTCTATCTATAGTCGCTTTGTTACAAGCAACCTGCCATAAAAATCACATCATTGTTCCAATTTCTTTAGTTAAACCTACAAAAATGTCAAAAATAAAAGAGTCTGGCAGAGTCAGGCATAAGATTTAGGCATAAGTATTTTTACAGGCCCTGATGAAATTATGAACATCAGAGAGAAGCTTTGAATGTCCTGCAAGAAGAATGGAGAACTTTTCCTGAAGATTACTTAAAGAAATTCTGTTTCCAGTAGCAGAACACCGACAGAAATTTGCATAGTAAGAAGTTAGAGTAAAAAATAAACGGGAAAAAGAGAATATGCATAAATATAGCAAATATATACACCTATATAAATACAGAATATATAAATGAGCAATGAAATATACTCATTAACCCTTTCGCGCATTGTGGTCACTACAGTGGACAGTTATTCAAAGGCTGTTTTCTTGTATTTGTGTCAATGTTGAAGGCACATAAACCACTACATTGGACACTTATGTGTCACTCCATACAAAATTCAAAAGTCAAAACACATGTTGTCCAGCTTTAAGTGGACATGGAACAAACTCTTTGAAAAGTACGTGTTTCAAAAATAAAGTTCAAAAATATTTTTTTTTGCCTAAAGATGAATAAAAATACTGCTGCCATATGTCGACTATTGTCGAAATTATTTTGGAAAATTATGAAGAGATGAGAATGAAAAATAACTATGAAGTTATTTTGAAAATGTAATGCAAAGACTTGTGTTATGTTATGTTGTGAAAGTTACCGCCAGGATTGAGAGTGAGTTTGCAAGTGATGCTTCTTTAATTCTTGGAGCTGACTGTTAGCTTAAACATGCGCTAACGCTCCCATAAGCCTCATGTGCTCTAATCCATCATTAACTCAGGTACTTTTCTCAGTCTGGTTCTTGACAGACGGACTCACCTGTTAACTCTTCATCTTCTCATCTCAGGGGGATCTTTCCATGTTTTCAGGTTTTAAATTCTTTTTGCCAAAATTGGTGAAGGTTCCAGAAATAGTAGCTCACCGCGCTCAAATGAGCCTTGGCTAAATTATAGAGCCAGTGGTGGAGATGTCGTTAGAGAACTAGACTGAAGACAACATGGAAAAATGGTTGCCACATGCCTGCAATCAGTATGATCAGTGAATACCACACTGATGGCCACCACTATATGTCATTGATGTTGGCCAGCTTTGAATTTATATGAGAATAATTCCATGAAGCCATTTCATTTTT